TGAGGGGTCATTGGCCCCAAAGCGCTAAACTGAGGATAGACAGTTATTTGTGTGAAAGCAGTGACAGCTAGTTTGTTTGTTTGATTTTGGTTTTACGTCACACCGACACAGTATAGGTCATTTGGGGACGTTCCAGCTTTACTGGTGGAGGAAGACCTCAGGTGCCCTTCCGTGCATTTTTCAGGCACGAACGGGCACCTGAGTAGAACCACCGACGTTCCGTAAGCTAGCTGGTTAGCTTCCTCACACGAAAGAATCCAAAGTCCCTGTCGGGATTCGAACCCACAGCGGTGAGGGGCAAGTGGTTTGAAGTCAACGACCTTAACCACTCGGCCACGGACGCGCCCCCCCCCCCCCCCCCCCGTGACAGCTAGTGTTTATTACAATAATTTAAACGCTGTTGGCCACTAGACCATATACTTCATGCAAAATGTATTTTTAATTACACTTTATACATGGTCCTAATTTCATAGCAGTACATCAAAAACAAAAAAGTAGGTTACTAGGTCAATATTTAGGTTATTTGATATCAAATTTCAGTTATACATCTGAAATTGTGCACATGGCCAAAATAAGATAGCTGTATATAAACAACTAAAGGATGTCACATCATCAAAATCTAGGTAAGCTGAACAAAAATTCAATTTTACATCTAAATTTGTGCAAATGGCTAAAATTTCATAGCTGTACATCAAAGAACAAGAAAGTAGGTCACATTATCAAAATCTAGGTAAGCTGATAACGACCTTCAATTTTACAACTCAATAAGTGCACATGGTCAAAATTTCATGTATGTACATCAAAGAACGAGAAAGTAGGTCACTGTGTCCCATTGCGTTTTTCCTTTTTTTATTTTAATAGGTCTGTCTTATCATACTTGTTTTGTCCAAGCATGGTTTCTTTCCATAAATAAATGACATAGTAAAGAAAATATAATCAAAATTGAATCATTTGATGTTCAAGGTCATTTAAAGGTCAAGGTCATATCTAAATTATTCCACAGGTCTGTCCACATATGAATCAAATTTGTACATAAATAGCAAAATCATCACAACTTATCCAAATTTCAATAATTTGACCTCAAGGTCAGTTAAACATTTTAGAATTTCTTGTCCAAAAGGTTGTTTTGTTCAAGTATGAAAATAATCCATTGAGTAATTACAAAGTTACAGTCAATTATAGCAAAATCAGAGAAAATATATTAATTTAACCTTCAAGGTCAAGGTCAATTTGAGTTTGATATGCATGAAGGCCATATCCTAAAGAATGGTCTGTTATGATATATAGTCAATCCATTCAATAGATTTATATTCAGTTAAAGGAAAAAAATGAAAATTTCAGTATTTGACCTTCAAGGTCAAGGTCATTTATGAGTGACAGCTGTCTGATTAACTTGAAGGTCTATCCTAAAAGAATTCTTATGTTCAAGTTTGAAGACAATCCATTAAAATATAAAGTTTTAGCCACTAATTGCAACAAAAAACCCCATAAAATCAAGTAAATTCAGACATTGGACCTTGAAGGGTAAGTCTGGTGAGCTGGCCTTTCTCACTTCCCCTCCGTGTCTGCACATTGCTGAGAAGGCACAGGGCATCGGCAGAAGATTTGCAGCGTGGATGAGTAGTAAACTTAAATTTCCATGCCCGTTATTGGGACTGCTACTTTGTCAACGACTGGGGACCAGCTGCTGATGTCCCGACTAAAGCCGAGGGGAGTGGCCCTATTATTCAGGCAGAGATGATGAGGCTGATGTGCCAAGGTGTGTGAGAACAGTTCAACTGATAGATGGCTTGTAAGGCAGGCTCTTTGCTTGGCACCAACAGTTACCTCCTTTCATTATTGTCTCATGTTACTGTACATTAAGGTTCTCATTGACTGCTGTACAGTGACTAAATTTTGGCTCAAAATTTATATCTTTGGCTAATACACTGTGGAAATTGCATGGACGTAAATTACCACCACTTAGTGCTTCAAAATTAACTCTTGAAGGGCATGACTGGTCACATGTCCAGGGTCCGTACTCGACAGTGAAAGCTGCTTTTAGTGCCTTACCAGGCCGATGGACCATCATTAAACATAGACTAAATACATACATGGTTGTTGTGGCCAAGTATGAAGACGATACACCAAGATCTTAAAAAGTTATTATCAAGTTACAAGTTTGATAGCAACGCTAAAGCTATCATGACTGTATCAATATCTCTATTTTTTTTAAAAGTCGAGCTAAAAATGAGTAACAACAAGAAGAACTTACAAGCATAACTTTAATGAAATTCATTGTCACACAAACTTCGCATCATTGATATAATATATTAAAGTCTTCAAATATTATCATTCAAGTATACTTTCATGAAATTAAGTTAGGAAGTAATGTTATAATAAATCTTAAAGATCCTGTAACACAATTTTTTCATGGTTTTATTTCATAAATATGATGCTCAAATTAAGATTTGTCAATATTGTAAGTTCCAATAAGCATTATTTATAAAGATATTACCCAATTTAACATTTCATGTAAATAAAGGGAGGTAATTAGAAATTTATTTTCTATAAATTCTAAGTCAAATTTTGCAATAAGAAATGAATGCCTGTAATTTATTGATTAAATAAAATGTGCACAAATATTTGCAGTACACATTTTACATATTCTTCGATGTTTGAAAATTGTTTTATTTGCATAAATATGTACATATATAAGTTTTTGCTAGTGTGGTATTCATACAGTAAAAATATCAATCACAAAACATACAGGATCTTTAACTCCAAAACAATAAGATATCACAATTGTACAAATCAATGCAAAAAAATAACAACCCACAAACAATTGCTTGTAAATATAATTTTAAAAGTATGTTGGTATATACACTTATTTCTTTTACACTAATAACCCACATATCATTTCTGATATTATTTACAATGCAAAGATATCACAAGAATAATGTAAAGAATTTAAACAAGACAGCCTCAAACAAGGCATTTATGAGAGAGAGATAGAGAGAGTAAATTCTTTTAGATATAACACCTTACAAATTATTGATTTTAACACAAAATTAAGACCCTGTCTTATAAGAGATCAGTCTTATAGCGGAGCATATAATTATCATCAACTCATTCTTTGTCTTTTTCTTTTATAAGTACAGTAGTAGTATAGACTACAATAAAGAAAGTTGAAATGATCTATTTTGTAATTGATACATATTCTATACAATGAAACACAAACAATGCAGCACTAGCAGAGATTCTTTTTCGGTTGGATTTTATGTTGCACCAACACAATAGAGGCAATATGGCTACTTTCTAGCTTTACTGGTGAAGGAAGACCTCAGCTACCCCTCCATGTGTTATAAAATACTCTTCACAAATAAATAACTTAAAGGAAGAAAGGCATATCATGAAATAGCACTGGCAAAATGTATAATAAATATTAATATTCCTTTATTGAGTATTCAAAAATATAATTTTAGACAGAATAAAAATATATATTTGCTATGTTAACAAAGCATAATTTCAGAGTTTAGGATTGTGGCCGATCTGTTTTTTGTTATATGAAAATAAAAAGAGAGATAAACTGATATATCATGACAAAATTCAGCATATGATTAAAGGGCCACAACACTCATTTTGGCAGAGTTTACAACATCAAAAGTACATAAATTACAAAACAAAAATTGTGATGTATCTCCCTAATAACATTTGTCACATCAGTGCAGTAACTGGTTAACTCCTTATTTAATTTAATAGGAGTTAACCCGTTATTGCACTAAGGTGACAACTTGTTTTAATGTACAGGTTTTTCTAAAATACATCCAACTCTTAATTCATTAACTAAGGTCTATACCAAACTACCAATGCATGAATTTTCTTCTTATATGTGTAACATGTGTGTAAACTAATCAATAACATATGTGTATAGTATAATACACGTATATATTTGTAGAATGGATAACATGCAATTCCCCAATAAAACATAGCACAACTATAAACATAAACACAAACATTAACAAATAAAATAAATTAAACAATGTAAATGCATAGAATTCTACTTCTGTAGGGTAAAACATAAGGTATTCCTCTACAATGCTTTCCTTCAGTTTTGGTCCTACCACCTTCCACCTCCCCCCCTTAAATTTTATAATGGATTTACCCTGCTTTGAATTTAGAACAGTTGGTTGCAAATTTTAGGGGATTTCAACCTTGCTTAAACTTTATCTATAGAATATAATGGACTTCCCTTTCCTTTGAATTAGAACAGTTCATTGCAATATTAGGGGATTTCAACCTTGTTTACACTTTAACTATAATGAACTTGTCCTTTTGAATTTAGAACAGTCTATTATCAAGTTTTTTGGGATTTTAAACTTGCTTAAACTTGATCTATGATCGACTTTCCTTTACTTTGAATTTAGAAGAGTCCATTGCAAGTTTTAGGGGATGTCATTATCAATATGCCCAAGGTTAACAAGCAATATAATGGTGAGGTCCAGTTGCACAGATGTGCAGACTAGCCCGGTGCTATATCTTGACATGGGCAAATCCTAGTCATTGTTACCTTCACAGGGGTTTAACTGAATTCTTAACACAAGTGTTATTAAGTCTACATAATGCCCTTTAAAGATTTCATTTATATTTGAAACAAAAAATACCAACATAATCTGAAAGTAGACAATGATCCTTCAATTGAAATTACATGTATGACACTACACAGTTTAAGATTCTACATTTTATATCATTTAATAAGTTTTAGAATGATCTCAACAATGTAAAAGTGTCTCCTAGAATAGAAAAATGCACATCGAGCAGCTTATAATTTGGAGAAAAAGAAACTAACTTAGGCATACATAAATAAATCCAAACTTTATAATTTGGAGAACGAAAAAACTTGCTTAGGCCATTAAATCATAAACATGTTTTTTATATATCTTCCTGAGACATTGATTAGTGCTTAATTTAAAAGTAAAAGATAAGCTTCATAAAAATACACGGAAAAAAACAAAAACATATTCTGTATTTTAAGCTTGTAACTATTCTAGAGTCTGCATTTAGTTTTCAAAGTTTTTTTTAATGCGCATATTAATGTCTCTGTAGCAATCCAGCCCTTCTGTACACAATTGTTGTTTTCATCAGGCAAGGTCAAGGTCATTGTCGTGTCAAGGTCACTGTAAAGTCAAGGTAATTAGACTGGTTCCATCTCAAGATCAAATGGTTCCCCTTCATCTCCAGGTGTGTAGAATGAAGCATGTAACATTATGACAAAGAATGATGCACCTGAAAAAATAAATTGAATATAAGACATAAGCATGGGCAGTATTTTCAAAAGATAAAATTTTCATAGACGCAGAGACAAAGTTATTAAAAATCACAAGATGAAAATACTGTTTAAGTTTGAAATAAGTGATGGTTGATAATGACACGCCACATGGTCTTATTCTTCAACCATCAAGACAGATATTCTTTATCTTGACATACAAGCCATATCCCCAGATTAGGAATACAATCCCCTGATTAGGTATACAATCCCCCAAATTTTCTACAGTGTCATTGTTTCTTTTTATTTAAAATTGGCAAATGTGGCTGAGTGGTTAATGTGACAGACTAGTAATCTAATGATTGCTAGCAGCATGGGTTCAAGCCCTTTCAGGGGCAAGTCATCGTTTCCTTGAGCAAAAAACTTTACACTCATTGCTCAGTACTGGTTGGTTCAAGGAACAGATTCGATAGTGTTTCTATAAGCGTATAGCTTCCTTCACAATCGAACTAAAATAAGTTCTGTATAAACCAAAACTTTTCATGTCAGTACTTCATAGAAGGTTATGTAGTTCAAGAATTATTTCCCTTCCTCAATATTTTTCCAACTATTCCTTTTTTATCAGAGTACACTAAATGTAATAAATTTTGACATACCTTTGATGTAATGAAAGAGTTTTGTTTAATAAATAATGGTTACAAACAATTGTTTTAAATATGTTATAATATGTAAATTGCTGTTTTGTATAAAGATTCATGTAATGTGAAGTAAAAGAACAAAAGTTTCATACCAATGACCCAGAAGACTGCTGATCCAGCACCAGCCAACCAGAACAAGGGAAATGAACACAAAGCAACTGCTCCATATTGTTGTGCTAAAGTAAGTTCACGACCTGAATTTAAAAAAAATTCACCATTTCATAAAACTTACTTCATCAAACTTTGTTAGCTTAAATATACTCATTTTGAATGTTTTATTCATCATTTGATAAAAATAATATCAAAATACAAAGCTATGGTATGGTATAGCATAATAGTTAAGCAACTTTGTGTCCTATATTGGTTGTTACTGTAACAAATAAAATATGTTATAGTGACATTATGTCCATCCGGGTGTAAATGGTCAGTGAACTGGTAAAAATACAAATTAGTTTACATTTTGAAATATTTATATCATGAAAATGTCTATAAATATCGTTCAGAATGCATCGGTAGCTTTCAATTCTTAAAAAGAGTAAAGAAGTCTTTTTATGATTTAGGTTATTATTACAGTGTATCAAAAACATTTTTTTTTATTTATTCTTAGTCAATCACCTTTATAATAGCCAACCTTTTTAAATATATTACTAATTCAACTGAACTTGATAGCAAAAAAAAGAGCATACTGTCACTTTTAAAGCAATTCAGTTTCACTTCATTCAACAACTTAAAGGATATTAAATTTTACTGTAGGATCTCACATAAGTTGCCATATAATATAAAATTTATGTTAAAAATGTTAAAAAAAAGAGCCTTTGGCAAGATTATTTTTATGCATTAAAATTAATGAAAATAAATTTACTTTGATGTTTTAAGCATGCTTTTGTACACCAAGTTATATAAATATACATTAAAATTAATGAAAGTAAATTTACTTTGATGTTTTAATTAAGCATGCTTTTGTACACCAAACTTAGATTCATTTACATGTGTGTAATATGAAAGAATACCGGTATGTAATGTTTATTTAAAATGGAAAACAAGTATCCTCATGATAACAGAATTTTTTCCTCTATCAAGTTCACTGATTAATATGCTATTATTTAGTCCTTTGCCACAAGTATAGAGGGGACCTGGCTTGCACAGTTTGACCAATCACTAAACTGCCACTAAATTTTAGTAGTTTGATACTAAAATATGTTATCTTAATCTGAATTAAGCTTGGTAAAGTATTCTTCTACGAAAGAAATTGTTTTTTTATATATATTTTTTATAGGAATTGTTCCAACAAAAATTTATCTTTGAATTCCAAATTACAGCTTATAACAGCTTTAAACATAATACAATGTACATGTAGATAGTACAGGTACATGTTTCAAAGTCAAAAGTGAAAATTTATTGGTGAAATTAAAATCTCATTAACATTTCTATTCTATATAGATTGCCTTTAATTGTTACAAAAGAAACAAACCCCTCCCTACATTTGTATTTTCAAAAAATTTATGACCCTGCTTTAAAAATGTTTGCAGATGGAAAATACATGTCCTGGCATTACTGCAGTCATTGAGGTATATTGAATATGAAGTTAATCCTTTATAAATCATGTCAAGTTGGTAACTTGGATTCAGAAAACAAGCTAAAAAGTGGACTCATGTATTTCTTTATTTCATTGATAACCAAAACAATATGTCTATTGATGTAAGTTACAGGAAAAGCTATTTCAAAACACTCCCAGCTATTTTAATCAATGACCTAAGCTAACAGCTGTTGCAATAACATACACAATATTGATACATAGTTTCTTTCTGTAGCATCAATGCTTGGAACAAACAATAACATACATATATTAGTTAACAGTAAAACAAAATAAAAAGTAATGTGGTTTGAAAATCTTTACTTCTGCCCCCTTCCCCTAAAATTTCTGGCAACCGCTACTGACCGGAATATCTTACCCAAAGATAACTGTTTATGGAATGACAGTTTTTTTTCTAGCACTGGTATAAACAGAAAATCATGTTGTCATTCTAATATACCAGAAAACATAATCTCCAATTTTATCTCTCTAATAATTTCTTTTTAACCTACTATGTCTTTTAGACCACAAAACTTACCCATAATTTTTAATTTGTTATCCTTATTCTTTAAACTGATTATATAACAAGCACCAAGGCAAGCTGCTATGGCAACAAGGAGCATAGGTGAGGTCAATCTGTAATAGATATAAAATTCATGATGTCAAATTCAAACATGATACTAAAATTAGGGGGTGGGGGGGGGAACATATTAAGATTGTAAGAAAAGTTAACAGATTAAAGTGTCAAGTAATAATTGATATCTTATGTGCGATGAATGACTGACTGCATTATTTATCACCATTATTCGACTGAGTTACAAAATTAATGCAGTAAGGGCTATTTTTGGTAATTTACATGGATTGTATGTGCCATTTGCAATTTGTAATTTACATTTTTGTTCACTTCACAATATCATTTAAATACATTTCAAAATCTTCATGAAATCTGGAGGCATGATGCTTTAATACTCAAAATAGAAATTTGCAAAGTATAAACTTTCTTAAAACAGATTTTAATACCTTTCAAGTTATTTTAGTAATACTCATACTTACATACAGAATACAACTAAGCCAATGAACACAAATAAATAGTTGCTCTGAAAATGTTCAATATTTTTCATTATTCTTTTAGGCAGTGGAGCCACAGATTTAGGGGTCTGAAACCTTCCAGTGTTGACAAATTCTCCCCAAGGACGAATACCATCTCTGGTCTTGGAAAACCATTCCCGAGCTGTAGCGTTTGAAAGACTGAGTGCCATGATCCTAGAGAAACAAAGAAAAACAGTGATTGATATAGATACAGTTTACCATTCAAATCCATCATATTTAACCCATTACTGCATGAGCATTTTGTGTTTCATTGAAAAGTCTCCCGTTACAAGCTCAAATTGCTATAAAACTATAAAGATTTCTTCAATACCAATCAAACTTGGCACAAATGTTGACTGGACCATTGCCTTTGTAACAACATGCTCAGTCTTAAATTTCCTGTTACCATGGCAACAAGGGGACATCTCAAAATGCCAAAAATCACTATTTTGCATTGATTTTTTCCATCAAAATTGTTTCAAAGTGCTTCAACTTCTCAATGGATTCAGATAGAGTCAAAGGCTTTTCAGCGTTTGTTACACATGACCTTATGATCCACCTGGAGTCATTTTTAGCCTCTCGCAAGTCCAAAATTTTCTTGGTGATCAGGGGGACTGCCGCCCCTTCAAACCCCCCAAACAGGGCACATCCCCCTTCTGGCAACCGCAATAATACTGTTATTGTATTATAATAACATATAATAATTATGTTATTATGGCATGGTTTGGGACTTTTCCTTTGTTCTTATAACCCATTATACTCAGTACACCTCAATGAGCATTTGAAAACTGTATTGATATATAACAGTACAGTTTTTTCATTGATTCATATAGGAAAAAAACTCGACTGTTATATATCGGTCGAGTTTTTTTCGCACCTTGTATATATCAATACAGTTTTTTCATAGAGGCCGCTCCAATGGGGCAGTGGTAACGACTATTCCAAGTAGCAGAAAAAACATAAAATAAAAAAATGAATTCAATAAAATAAAATAAATATATAAATACAATGAAATATATAAACAAAGATAATTAATGAAATGAAATTTACTCAGGTACATCCGCTGAATGAATTATTTCAACCGAAAAAAGCCCTTTAATCTTAAATCAATCTCGGTAACAGTATACAATCCGCCTCTTATATGGGATGTCTTTTGTATATTTTTTTGCGGCAGCAAAAACAACTTGAAAAACTGCCTTATGATAAATAACTGTACTGAGCTAACGATTAATTTTTTTATTTGTTTCTATTACAAAAAAAGAAAACTATATGCCATTGCGATAAAACAGTTATAGTATATGAAACTCGTTAGTTACGGGGGTATAACACAGGCTGGGGCGACATCTCGGGATGTTTCTGCAAAAAAATTGTCTCGGCCTAACCATTTTTTAGTTCAGCAGAAACACCCATTGATGTTGCCCCAGCCAGTGTTATAACCTCGTAACTAACTCGTTCCATGTACTATAACTATTACTTATAATTAATATAATAACAGTATATTATACTTTTAATATATTTTTACATATGTATCAAAAATTATAATTATAATCACTTCATCTTACAATTAATGCAGCTGGGTATAGATTTAGAGACTTCTTACAAGGTTACATGTATTTCTTGGAGAACTTAATAGGTAAGAGATTTGTTAGGTCCTGTCATGTTAAATTAACAACATTTTTAATGCTTTTTTAAATTTAAAATATTTTTTTTTGCAGTAAAATATGTTATCGATAAAAAAATATTCAAATCCATTAATTTTGGACTTCTTTGCAATTTGGCCTTCTTTGCTATTTATTGGAGAAAACAAAGGTTCTTAAATGAGATTGCAGAAGTCATTATCTTAAGGCCTGATCAATGTATTTACACCTAATCAAGAAAGTAGGATTATGTTGCAGATTCAACTCCATGTCACAGTTGCCATGGAAACTTTTACCTTTTTTGTTGGGTGATCCAATCTTAATGCCATCTAGAATGAAATATTTTGACCTTTTTGTGGTTTTTATGGCAAAATTATTTGAACAACAGTTGCACTTGCAGCTTGCCTCCCTTGGCTTTGCAGCCACTAACGCGACTATCTCTATAAATGTTATTGTTAACTAGATTGCTTTATCTTCAACATATTTAACATTTTCAAACGGTCTGCACTGAATTTCTAATAACTTAATAGAACTCATTAAGTCATAATAATTAGCAGAGTTGACAGACTTTCCATAAACACTGTCATTTTTATTGGACTGGGTCGGTGATGAACAAGTTTGAAAATTGCAAAATAGTGGAAAATGTCGATAATAGAGGTGCATAAATGATGAGTCTTGTGATTTAGGTGGATTAAAGGGGAATGTCTTGGCAATATAGGGGGCATGTTTGGACAGGCCAGGGGCCTACAAGACTTAAACACTGTCAGTGTGGCTGAGTGCCAAGAAGGCAAGCCATATCTTTGATAAAAAAAAACTTCATGTGCAGTCATTTCCAGTATTTGTTGGTTCCAGGAACACTCCAAACAAATCCAAGAGTGTCTTCGACTTATACAGATTCCTATGTCTTCTGCTTAAGTTAGGTTCACATTCAAAATGATTCATTAAAAAGTAGCAATTTTATTTGATAATAAATTGATTATTAGGTACATAATGTTTCTGTCAAAACAAACCTAGCTTAAATAAGCTAAAACAACCTGTTTGTTGACGCTCTCATCCAATTTTTTTCAATTCCTAGAATTCACAGTGAACAAAACATACAAATTTGAATTGTTGACGTTTCAAAATGTAAACAAAACTTTCAAAATAAGTTACACAAAAAAGATTGCTGAAATAAATTTATCAACAATCCGTGTACCATGTGGACACAGTACATATAACATTCAACAACATAAACATAATAAACCTTTGCTTTATTGTCTGGTTCTGAAAGGCTCTTGTGTCGATATTTCCGTCAATATCCAATTTAGTTGCTTCTTTTTCCATGTCAACAAACCATTTACGTGTCGTGCATGACGTCTGCTAAAGCCCGTCTAAAGCCGAAAGCTTACCGCATGCCCCACAAGTCATTCAGTGATGAAATGCATTACTTCCTCATTTGATTTCCTTATCTAACCTCTTTTCAAAAAAGTTAAAATATCAGTTTATATGATAAAAGAGAATCATAAAAATGCTTCAATGCAAATGTCTCAATTGATATACTGGTTTTTTTACATTGTACCGGAGGACAGACAGAAAATAGACAGTATGTATGCAATACAGAGTATGGTGCAGGTATTTTCGTACTTCCGGTTTACTCAGTCACATGATAGTCAAGATGGCGCATACTGCACAAAAAGGGAAATTGATAGCTGTCATCGGAGATGAGGTTTCTCAGAACAAATTTGATTGTTTTAATAAATATACAATATTTATATATTTATAAATAATATGATTCCTTCTTTTAATTAGTTTATTGAAAAATATACTATGCTCATCCTTGAGTAAATTCACAGAAATCTATGAAATTCTTACTGAATTAATATGTCTAATTTGAATAAAGAATGAACTTTGTATTTATGGTGGCTTATTTGGTACACTTTTTGCATTGTGTTGCTAGCGAAATGCGCCAAATGGCGCTTTGAAGCACTGTCGTCCTGTCACTAGCGAAGCACGCCAAACAGTGCATTGTCTGTCATGCGGCCCGTTGGTGCGATGTCGCCCTGTAGCTTGGCTTATATATATACAAGTAGCCAATCCTTTGAGTTGAGCCGAGGGACAATGTGACATTGTGACAACAGGCCGTACATCAACACCCTGTTTGGTGTGCTTTGTTAGTGACAAGACAACAGTGTGACAACCAGCCATTTGGCGCTTTGTCTTGCTGTCGCTAACAGCAACTGGACGCACAAAAGTGTTCCAAATCAGCCACCATATGTATGGGAAGCTCACTGCAGCATTCCATTTTACAGGTCAAGTAAAGTTTGTTTCTTCAAAAAACTGCCAGTTATTCAACTTATTGTGACCATCTATAGTGTGTAGAGTAGCTAACACAACCACGGATTTATATTACATGTCAATTAAAGTCCAGGACACAACATATCTACTTTGTGTGAAGTCAAAACATGTTTATTTTATATTTACAAAGAGACTGTGTAGCAATAATCAAGAATTTGAGCATGGTATATCTTTACTTAAGCTATTTCAGACAAATTTGCAGTAATGCCAAAATACTGTATTGTGACAAGACAGGTATGTTGGAGAAACTGCCAGTCATCGAATTTAGCACTGGCCCGGTGGCCCGTGAAAATTAGTTCAGGCCAGTGTAAATTTTAAGAAAATTTAGTTAAATATATAGTGGAATAAATTCAAAACCGGATTTTGGGCCAGTCAATTTAAAATCTTAAATTCAATGACTGAATTTTACTGCTGTTGGGAAAGTCCATCAATATTTATGCCAGGAATCTGGAAAGCTCATATTCATTTGTGAAGCCGAGTAAAATGAAGCATACACTAATAAAACAATATAATATTAAATTAGGTGTCACCTGTATGATACCGAAAGCCTTTATGATTATAAAACAAGCATAAAGTTTTCAATATATAAACCAGATCTGTCTCGGACTTTGTAAATAATGAGTAAAAGCGGTTATACTGGTAATTTGTACCATTAATTAGATACAAATGAATTTCCAAATATCTTAAAAATAATAAATTAAAATACATTCAAAGGAAACTTTTTATACCAGTCATTGTTACTTCAGTTCTTAGCAATGATTATAATTATAATGTATTTATTTACTGATTTTCTTAGTGATACTGATAGGCAGAGGTTTTTCTCTTTACTTTTTTATTAATTTTATTTACTGATAGGATTCTTAAATTCTGACTGAAGAAAATCAAAGTTATTTTATAATTATGTAATTTAATTGTCTCTGCTTGAAGGACACATGCACAGGTTTTCTGTTGGGAGGAATTGGTGAAATAAACAAGAAAAGAGAGCCCAATTTTTTAGTTGTGAACAAAAGTAAGTAAAATGCATACATTTTTATTGATAGAAATTTAGAACAAACTTTTTTATATAATGCTTTGAAATATCTGTTTGGAAGTATTGAGCATGCATTGTTAAATATTTATTTCATATGGATGTGTAGCTCATGTTCTGAGGATGAAGGGAGGTAACTTATCTAAAGATTTATATATTCAAAAATGTAATTATCTCCCATAACATGTTTTAGCTAAGTTGAGATAATTTTCACAGTTCGGTTACATATTCTATTATGTTTCTGAAAAAGTTTATCCCAGACATATGAAAACCATCATACATGCATGGTAAATAATTTGAAAGTTTGTATTTAGAATATAAAAAGATGGCATAACATTTTTAGGGAAAATATTCAAAATAAGTAATGATTGAATAGCAAACTGTGCAAACCATGATTAAAGTTCATTTGTGATATTAAGAAAGTCTTTGGCAAAGATATCAATATGACAGGCCTTTCCCCAGGAATTTTGCAAGGCACAGGGGTACTTAAAGGCCTATTATGCCCCAGAAATGCTTTTATTTTTGTTTCCCTAAATCTTTTTATTTTTGATGTTCTGTTATAGTTTCCAAAAAGATACTTATTGGCCAATTACCTGAACCATCTTTTGTGTCTTGTCGCTTTTTGGCATTTAGTTATACGGTTTTGGTATTTTGTATGGAAGTCATAATTCTACAATGTTTACATTTTGCTAATTTTAAAACAAATAATTTTACTTTCAGGGCTACTTTCTACATGTTATAAGCATCTAACATACATAAAACAATTTTTTAAACATTAAAAGTCTCGCGTTTGCTCTTTCTGAAGCCAGGAGTCTAAAATTATTTCTTTCTGAGGCATAATGTGCTTTAAACAAAAATTTCCCTTAGCGTAATTATCAATTATCCTATCATTAAATACCCTTGATTCACTAATATTTCCTCACACGCGAAATGTCTGGAATTTTAAATTCACTAACTTTTCGACAAGCTGAAACAGTATTACTAAGAGATTCTTCAGGAAGACTATTAAAGACGTTTTTTTTTTCATCTAAAATATTTCTGTTATCATATTCTAAAAACATGCCAAGTTTACAGAAATTCTATTGAACAGTTTTAATTTTGCCTATAATATTATGTCTATATGAAAACTCTGGAAAACGTATTTAAGCTCGGGCAGGTGCATGTCCTGGATCTAGATAACTGATCTGTTCAGAGATCACGTTTCCAGGCTCCCCATTACCGGTATTTGTATTAATCTTAGTACACACACAAAATTACATATAAGAAATTGTATATTTTCAGATACGAGTGTAATGGAGATAGAAGAGATGTTTCGTAACTTTGTAAAGAGAGCTGATATAGCCATTATTCTGATCAATCAAAATGTAAGCTTTATTTTCGCATATACACATGTATAATTTGATATGATAATTTGACAGCCAGCTGTGACTACCTGTCATGAATCTATCAAGTCAGGCATTTTAAAGAATGATAAAGCCTATCTAAAATATTGACTTATCAACGGGGAGATGTAATCAGATGGCTTTGTAATGTTGAAATATACTCTTAATTAGTATTGACTTCCAATGGTTATATACTTTGATTGCTTGCAGTGGGAATGATTTGCATTTTTCAAACAGTATAAAGCATATCTTTGCTGCTTGCTGCCAGGCTTTATACTTTAAGCTGGCAGCTACATTGTTTTGGTCATGTCCACGTAACCAGCTTTCCAAGATAACTAACCAGTCTTTGCCAATTTTCTATGCAAGTGACCAACTACTATCAAGAAGGTGTATTATCAATAATACATGTAAAATATATTATGATTTTTTTCTGAAAGTTTGAGTATTTTGTTTGCTACTTTTTATGGCTGGTTAGCTTTATTTGAGCCAATTACTCAAAATAACTGGTTAGAAATTCTGTTTCAAACAACGTTTGAATGTTAGAATTATAAAATTTCAGTAAGCATGGCAATGAAAGTTACTGTATCCTAATTTTCATACGCCAGAATTTTTTTTAATTTATAGGTTACTTTCTAGATTGTCTTGACTTTTAAACAGATTGAACAAAGTCCAAAATGTCTGTTATGTTCAGATTGATACATCCAATTATAACATGTCCATATATCTTGTTTGTAATGTTTTCAGTTTGTAATAACATCTGGTATATTGTAGATAGCGGAGATGATTAGACATGTTATAGACACATATACAGACCCTATACCTGCTGTACTAGAGATCCCCAGCAAAGAATGTCCCTATGATGCTAGCAAAGATTCCATTTTGAGACGGGCAAAGGTAAAAGTTTTGTGTTGCTTTGCTTTTTTACACTGATTTTGACACATTCTGTTAGTTATATATTGGTAGTTGATCCAACCAACCAGTTTTCCTGGATAACTGACCGGTAATTACCAATTTCTATGCAAGTGATCCACTACATATCCCACGTGATTTCTGAATTAGCAGTGAGAGACAAAATGACCATAAGAGTTAATGTCCAAGATCAATTATCACAGAGAAATTTCACCTTGAACTGGCAGAGGGATCAAACTAGTCACCCCTAGGTTACAAATCTGATGCTCTCTTTATTTAGTTTAGTGGTTGTAAACATAAATATTTGCAACAAATGATGTCACTTGAATATCTTTGACATGCCAAAATTCAATTCTAAACTTTAGTTTAAATGCTGTGTTTTGTTCATACTATTACATTATTGTTTTGAAGTACACTTTATAGCAAATTGTGTCATATAAAGGATAATGAACCCTAATTCAGAATGTACAAAATATTGGCACATCAGTGCAGTAATGGCCTAACTCCTGTTAAATTTAATAGGAGTTAACCTGTTACTGCACTGAGGTGATGATATTCTTAAATTATGATGACACGGTTGAAAACAGCATCTTTGAAGAGAAAAATATGCTATAAATCGTATTTCAAAATCTGTTAAAAGAGGGTGTGAGCTTTTTGGGGTTTATGATGCTATTACCCATCATTAATATTTATCAGTTCATTAGGAATTAAATTCCAAGAGGAGTTATCTTTTTCGGACAGTATAGAGCCAGGCCAGCCTGCAAATTTGTGCGATCAGACCGGGCTTTATACTGTTCCCTGTAATATTTTAAATTTCATCTTGATATCCCCAAAATTGAACATGGACAGTTCCAAAAATGGAAGCTGGACAAGTCCATTTAAGAAATTCAGCTAGTTAAAGGGGTTAAAATTTAAGGGGTTAAAATTCATTTGATTTTTGTTTTTGTTTCAGGGTATGTTTTCAGCTGAAGACTTCAGATGAGGACATGACAGATGTATTTAGACAAACAGAGACTAGAAACTGTGGTTTAATAATCGGAATTATAGTTTAGATACACTGAGTATTGGTGTTGTATTATATGGACATAGGTTTTGTATCAGTTAAAAATGGACTTTTTTTAAGACTTATGATGGTCAAATTTTAAGTGCATATTTTTAAGTGCGATCATTTACATTCCAGGGATTATTTTGAATGTAAGGGTATTTTCTTATTATTGTTGATTAAAGATAGATCTACTGTAACTGGTTTTTATTTGTTTTATAAAATAATGCTAGTACATAACTATATTGTGGCATAGCCAAGTGGTTAACAAGTCAGACTTAAGTAATCTAAGGATTGCTGGCCGCGTGAGTTCAAACCCCTTCAGTGGCTAGCCGTTATTTCCGTAAGCAAGAAACTTTACTTTCAATGCGTAATACTGGTTGGTTCCAGGAAAGAATTTGAGAGTGTTTCAATATGTTTATATCTTCAAACACAATCAAACTTAAAAATTAGTGCAACCAATTATTATGTAGAATAGGAAAAAAGAAAGAAATTTAACAGCTGTTAAATACAAATTATATGTGTGATACTAGTCAGTAGATATGTGTTTTCTTTTGTATATTGTTTTATTTTTAAAAAAAAACAACAGCAAACAAACAGAGCCTTCCATGAGTAAAAACGATCTTAATAATTCTGATATTTTGTATACATGTCAGAAATATATTTGTCACTCTTATATCAGCTTATATGACAGAGTTATATAGATTCTATGAGTAGTTTTATTCAACAGTTGTCGAAATAAATCAGCATTTTACAGTGAATCAGAGACTCTGTGTGTCAGTTATTGTACATAAATTATCATAGAAACTGAAGAGAAATCCATAAATAAGAAGTTTGAAGATATTTAAATATTTACTATCTATTACACATTGTTGTTGCATAGAAAATTTGTTAATATCATTTGTTTTGTCAGACTTAAATTTTATATAGAAAATATGTTGATATCATTTGTTATGGTTAAATTTTGTATAGGAAATATGTTGATATAATGTGTCTGAAATTTATGTTGACTTTTTATGTAAAACTTAAATATTTGCAAAGGAAATATGTTGATATCATATGACAGGCTTGAATTTTCAATAGAAAATGTTTAGATATCATTCATAAAACTCAACTTTGGAAAGAAAATATTTTGATATCAAATGTAAATTTTGTATAGAAAATATGTTTATATCATCTGTTGCACAGAATTTTTATAATATCATGTTTCTCAAATACCAAGACATGAATTTATGATATCATGTGAAATAAACTGATCTTGATTAGAAATTATTTTTAAATTTATTTCAGTTAAAATACACTTGAAACATATTGTGACATGTGCTTTTTCTTTAACCATTAATCACGTTAAACATTATCATTTTTATGATTAAACAAATAGATGCTGGAACTAGACATAATTGTTTTTGATAACTCCATTTGGTTTCCTTGTACTTTGAAAAATATGATCTGTAATAATAAAACAAGTACTCGGACTTTCACATCGTAACTACCTTATAAAAAAGGTCATGGTCATTTGGATAAAAAAAATCTGTATATATTACAGTGTATAACAAATTTGACAGCAGCCAGGACTCATCGTGACAGTTTGATAATGTCAGTTTGAAAAATATTAAATCTTTGTCAATATTTGAAAAATTTTGGTATCCAAGGCTGACATTTTGGTTGATAATCTGTGTTTTATAAACCTCTGTGGGATTTTTAGCTCACCTTAGCATAGTGTGGCTATAGTAAGGGGCCATGATAAGGTATTGTCCCTGTTGTCTCTTGTTTGTCTGGTGAACTTTTGCACATAATGGCCCCCCCCCCTTAGACAACATTGCCAGTTGCCATGTAAATATACACAAATGATCCTTGGATGGTCCAGGAAAAGAATTATTGTCATCTGATTAAGATGGTCCACGGAAGGCTTAATTTATAATTACATCTTGTATGCTGTGTAGATTTTGATGATATTGTCCTGTAGTGGTACTGTACAAAAGTATTGTTTGTTTTGTTTGATTGAGTTTTACGTCACACCGACACAGTATAGGTCATATTGCAACGTTCCAGCTTATCTAGTGGAGGAAGACCTCCGGTGCCTTTTCCGTGCATTAATTCAGGTACAAACGGGCAACTGAGTAGAATCACAGACGTTCCGTAAGACAAAAAGTGTCAAAACTTATTTTGGTTCATTGAACAAGATGGCACGCAGACAATATATAAAATAGGCTTTAAACAAGTTCCAGTTAAGAATTTAAATCACATTCATCATAATATATTCTTGACTGATTTCTCAGATGAGCAATTCAGGACCCTTGCGACCTTCTTGTTTTATTTCATTGTGTGTTTTTCTGTTCAGTCAATTTGAAATTTCAGACAAATAATGCACCTGTTTGCAATTCTATTGTAATTTTTATCAACCAGTTTTCAAAAGAGGAATTTAAATCATGCATCTGCATTTGGTTAGCAACTGATCTTTGGAGCCGTTTAGATACATAAATATAAAAATTGTTTTCCTATTTAAGTTTGCTTAAAGATAAAACAATTGTGAGTTGTCAAAGGAAAGAAAATCTATGAGGTTTTAAAACATGTCCACAAAACATAAAGATAAAGGACTTTTTATCTATCTAAGCAAAAAAATAGTCTATTTTATAAATTTATAACCACAATTTTTGTTATCAATCTTTGTTTTGTTTCCTAAGTTTTTTTCTCTCCATGTTTTTATATGGAGCACATAGATTAATGCAAAATTACATACTTCCAGGGCAGGCAGGTCTCTGGTTTTGATACCCGGCAATATTGGTTTTTTTTTGCTTTTTTTGCTTTTTTTTAAAAATAACTTGAATTTACAACAGGTGAATTCCTTTTTGAAATAAAAAGCTCCCAAATTCAACAAAAGGGGTTTTGACCTCCTTTTAAATTTACAAAATAGAATTATGTTTTTTAGAATTTGCAGGTAATTTATTAACTTATATTCCTTAATTCGACTATATTCATAAATGGGCAGATGCGCTTTTGATTCTTGTTCCTTATTTCATGGATTTTGCTAAAATACATTTTAAAACCCCTTGGGTGGGATGGGGGTAATTTATTATCGGTTAAATTGATCTATTGATTCATCTATGAGTTTAATGTACTTACTTATCTAATCAATATAAAGACACTGTTAGATCAATATTGTTTACACTAATTACAGGAAACCCAATGTCAGTGATCGCTCTCGGAGGATTACCAACAACTTTGATGTTAAACTATTTAAAGAATTGTGTTTCAAAGACATTTTTAAAAATTTATACTAAGAGAATATCGAGCGGTGACCACAAAACTATTGTAAGTCCTTCTTTATGTCATATAAGTTACAACTGTTTTGCAGTCAACCCGCGATATGTTCGGAATAGACGGTATAGAAAAAAGTCCCCTAGAGATGATATATGGTACTGTATACAGGGCTGGTTTCGTTCCTTAACCCTCTGCCACTGTACAGCCATGGCATTTGTGATTCCGGACATTCCATGTCAACAATGCTTTGGTATCACCTTTTCGGGAAGCACGCTCAACTAAAAAGAGTTTTTCTTTAAAGTTATCCAGTTTTTGTTTTGTCAGAACAGTTCAAATGAAATTTCTGAGTTGGCCCGCCTCAAACTTCACTAAAATAAAGAAAGTTATAAATAATTTCTCTATATATATTTAATTTTAATAATGTATATAGTACAAGGAACATTACTTGGCAATAAATGACTTAATTTTACGTAGAGAAGTCCCAAAATCTTCGCCGAGGAATGTGCACGTGTTTCTTGAGGGACAATCATAAAACATGCCGGTTACCTATTATCATAAATACCGAAAGGACCGAAAAGTTGCAATATACGAGTATGCATGGTGAGTCCACAGGCGATTATAATTTCTTTATGTCATTACTGCTTTCGAATGTTAAAGGCATTTCAAGTGGCATTACATAATATTAATTCAAAGTACATTTATTAAACCCGAGCATAAAGAACATTTCTGAATTATTCGTAATCTGTGCAAAAGCGTAACTCATCTCTACGTACGAACGGAACGCCAGAAAACATTTCCTTCATTCTCGCGTTACTAAGTGCAAACTTTGCATCCAGTAATTTTAATACCATTTATGCTTTTTTCTTGTTTATTTTATTATACTTGAGAAGTAATTTATAATTTCAAAGTACTAAGCGTCTTAATTGAAGTTTTCAATGTTTGCTCGTCGTGCAAAGCTTAGATTATACTAAGTAAACAAAAATAAAATACATTAAAAACATAGTCTTAGTATTTAAACTTTGTGAATAATAAATAAATTCTTAAAGCGACGTGGAGCACATTAATTAAAGGAACCCCACTGAGGTCCTAAAGCCTAAAAACATAATATTTTAATTTCTTACATATATCAACTAGGGCACTTAAAACAGGAAGCTCTGCAGAATATAATAATTAAGCAATTTACTAGGGACACATATTGAAAATTGTATTTAGTGCTAGTCTTAGTCGTACTTGAGAGAAAAGCGTTGCAACGCTTTTGAAATTTGGGTCATTTTTTAACAATTAGAATACTTATTTCGGAAAAAATGGAATGAGCGAACGATCTGAAATTTTGCTCTTGAGCAAATGGTAGATCTACATAAAATGGAAAATCAATCTCGAAGAAGTATTTTCAGTCCCGTCATGTCAAAAACAAAAATCACAGTGAAGTCCCTTTAACGTGTATCCACATGCATGTAATACGCGCATGTTGATCTATACGTCATATATAAGTTTCTTATAAATAGCCGATCATTTGACAAAAAATGGACAATTTTTCTATATAGGAAGTTTGCACGACAGACGAGATCGATAATAAAACTAATCACCGCATGTCATCTGTGGTGATCGATCGATCGCAACATGTATGATTAGCGACAAAGTTATGGTAAACTTTATAATTAAACATGACCTACCGATAGTGTCTGAGTTTGTTTACATTTACACATTTTGATAAGGAAACTATAAGCAGTGATATTCTTATCGTCAGTTTTATTTGAAGTTATATAATATATTCCAATGCACGTGCGAGATGAGTTTTTAAAAAAAACCACAAAC